CAATTATGGACAAGAAGCAATTTTGCTTCTAGTGGTGTGTGTGAAATCAACGAATCCCACTGCAAATTTAATGATGGTACAGCGCTTGCGAGTTTTTTCCCGGTTCACTGTATTTATTTATGACCAAGAATCGCAATTTTTGTAGGAAATCCAGTCGTGCCGAAAAAATACAGATTTGGCCGGAAGGACGATTGTACATGGGAGTATTTCTCAGGATCGTCCAAAGAGTGGAAATATTTCTCACGATCGTCCAAGTTGACCATAAGTGGTATTTTTATTCCAAATCGTCCACCGATGCATGATTGGCTAAAAATCTCATGTGCTCAATATCCTCGGAAGTAAGTCCGAGGGGAGTTTCAGTCCTCTCCATTCCAGAATTTCAGCGGCCCCCAGCAAACACCGTCCGCACCCGCCGTCCACGACGCCACACCAAGCGCGACAGACACCGAGCGGTATGACCCAGCGACTTTCGATCTATACTCATGAACACCTATCTGGTCCAACATGCCTCTGGCTCATGAGACTTTTAGCCAATCATGCCGTGATGGACGATTTGGAATAAAAATACCTCAGGAACGGTCAACCGGGACGATCGTGAGAATTATTTCCACTCTTTGGCCGATCTTGAGAAATACTCCCATATTATGATAGTACTACTAATACCTGATTGGACAGCGCCAGCTAGCTAGCTAGCTACCTACCTGAACGTGCGATGGGATGCACCAGCACACTGCGGGCAAAGTGGCGACTCGTTGAGGACCTTGAGAATGCAGTCGTCGTGAAAGGAATGCCTGCAGGGTAAAGTGGTTCGCGCGCACGCATCTAGGTCGTCGTCATCACACAGTGAGCAGTGAAACAAGTCGGGCTCGGACGGTCGATGTTGGGTGGTAAACGACAGACGTGAATTCTTGGGCGACGTCACTTTGAATATGCTGGGGTCCAAGTCCACACCGTGAAAGAGAAAGTCGAACAAGACTGCTGGGACACGATCCTTTGCTCGACAGCACGATCGATTGTGCGGGGAATTGATGAACGTGACGATCACGTCAATCAAGTCTTGGTAGCTGTGCAAACGCGCCTCCACCACCCGCACGTTGGACGCAGAGCGGAACCACGGTTTCTTCGGAAGCTTACCCTGCACATCCACGAAAAACCAAGGACATAGCGCATCACACGAATGCCCTCGCTCTAACGCGTTGCATATCCGACGCTGCAGGTTCACGAAGTCGTCGTCGGACTTGGCTGTCGTGACTGTGGCATGGGTGTCCTTGTTGGACACCGTGATGGTGTACGTGACGGCATGCTGGCTGATGTTTGCCTTTGCAACCTTGATGGAGACGGCATCAAACACGCCTAAGTTGTTTTGCATGCCGCCGCTGCGGCTACCTTGAAGCTGGCGGCCTTCTCTTCTCACCTTCTTTGACAAAGGGATACAGTACTAGGTCTGCCGGCCACGACATCCTCGACGTTGTAAACATTGGGAAAAATGGGAATAATCCCGTTCGAACATATCTCTCGTAGTGGACTTCACGTGTCCTCCGGGGCTATGGAGGCAAGTCTTGACGAATACTAGTATATGAAACTATTCGCATAGCGTTTCCCCTGAAGGCCATAGAAAGGTCATACACACCGTGCTATAGTCATCGTGTTGCGGTATTTTCATAGAAAACCGAGGTTGAGGATACTCACCAATTTTCACCTAGGAAAGGAAAATTCCTTCTCATATTGTGTAGGATACAAGGAACATGCAAATAAGAACGCATTTATGCGCATCGCGATAGTGTTTGGCTTTCAAATCGAGAAGACGGCGGCGTTGATTTGGATTGTGAAAGGTTCATAAATAGGGGTTGAAAATGGGATCTACGCGATTGAGGCATTGGCGAGGCAGTCGGGGCATGCCAAACGAGCATTCAGCGCTTCCAGGATGCAATCGTCGTGGAAAGTGTGGCCGCATTGCAACTTGGTCAGTCCGCAGCAATCGTCCGCAACATGGTCACATAACGAGCAGGTGAATACCATGCCGTCCGACGAGCGACTGGAGTTACTCGAGCAAGATAGCCGCGGTTGCTTCAACGGCGCAGCGGTATACATGTTGGGGTCCACAGTCAAGTTTGTGAACAGGAATTCGTGGAGGACGTCGGGGACACGTTCTATGGCTCGGTAGCACGATCGATTGTGCGGCGACGTGACGAATGCAACAACGAGGTTCATCATGTCTTGGTATTGTTTCAAGTGGGAGGCAACGACACGAGCGTGTGTGGACGAACGAAACCAGTGCTTCTTGGGGATCTTTTGCTGCACATCAACATAAAACCATGGGCACAATGCGTCGCATGTGTGCCCGTGCTCGAGGGCGATGCAAATCTGTGTTGTGAGGGTTGCAAAGTCGCCGTCCGTTTTCGCCGTCGTCACTTTGGCTTGTGTCTCTTTGTTTACAATGGCCATCGTGTACAAGGCACTGCGATGGCCTTGGGTGACATTGGCCTTGGTCAATGTGATGGCGAGGGCGTCAAAGATGTTTCGGTTCATCACTCGGTCGCGATGCGCCCCAGTGTGCAAAATTCGGAATGTAGTGCTCGAAGAGTGGACGATGGCGCTGGCACGTGATTGGATTGTGGGTGTGGGGGCCGTGAAAATCCCGTCAAAACAGATGGAGAGTTGGGGAAAACCTCATGGACAGGCCAATCACGCGCGGGGAACGCCCACTTTGTCCCTCGACCTCGGTTGATTACACGGACGCGCCATGTCGTGAGCACCGTTTACGACGACTGGTGTTCGGGGATTGTATCGAGACTGTGATTCCGATCTTGTGGTGGTACAGCGTCCCAGGAGGAGGCATGTTGTGCCGCATGAGTAGCCAAGTCGTCGTTGGAATTCCATGCACACGTAAATTGTGTGCCTTGGACACGACGAGGGTTCAATTTTCATCGCCGACGCATTTTTGCATGACTGCTGAAACCATCGACCAGCACAAACAATGCCGCCGCATTGTTTGTGCTAATGGTACGGGCGAAATAGCTCTTACAACTATTACGACTGGAACTCCTTCCGTTTATGCACAGTCAATAATAATGCTGGTGAAGACCAGCTGGCAGCGACAAATTACCCTGTGCTTGTTAGCCATCCAACTATTGCCGCTAGCACATCCCTGTCTGGTATGTCCACCACGTCGCAGGAGGTCACTGTCATACTGTCCTTTGGCAGCAAGCAGATCCTTCGTCGGTCCGCGCGCATTCACCGCGATTCACAGTCAAACATGACGTTCGATTTTCAAACATGACGTTCGATTTTGAATAGTACCAGTACTGTGTCTGTCGGCTGCGAATAGCAGGAGTGAATGACGGATGGAATGTTTGTCGTGGGATGCCAAATACACCCGACAGCCTGCATGGTCAGTGGCACTCCACGTCACTTTGAGCGAGGCGGCTGTCGACGACTTCGGCATGATAGCACTACATCGAGGTTGTCCGATCTACTGCCAAGCTTGTTGACTCGTGAATCCGTTTTGTGAATGATTCATCCAGCGACAAATAAACCCATGAAGGCAGCTCGACGTTACCTCGGAATTAAGACAGCGCAAGCAAATCATACACTTCTCCCCGCGCGTCATTGCCCTCGTTGAGGTCCAATTTGACTTGGACGCAAAACACGCTCTGCTTGGCATTTCCAATGTCACTGGTCAAGTACACTTCGTAGTTGCCTTCGGGGGCAATGCGGGGTAGATTCAGCGACACTTGCAGCGCGTCAAACTTGCCTGGTTGGACGGGGCACGTCAAACCCACCACATCGATGTGACCCAACCCAAGGGGCAATGGAATGTGGGTTTTCCCACACAAGCTGCCGTAGTGGCTGTAGACCAGTTGGCCCGCCAACTTGACAGCAATCGACAAATGCGCAGAGTCAAACGCAGTCTTCACAACGCCGTTGCCGAGGAAGTGGATCGGCTGGCCTCGCTTGGGGTCTTTCGGGGTGACCGTCAGGTTGTTGAACGACACTAATTCTGTCGACAAGTCGCCGCACTGTGCAATCGTCACAGTGGAGCCAACGTTAACCACCGGCTTGTCATCTTCGTGCAAGGCGGCGAACTCCATGTCAGAACTGATAATGGAAGCAGTTGGATAGCTCGGGACCATCGCCACTCCGCATTGACCTTGTTCGACGCCGGTTTCGCGGGCCAAATAGATGTAACCTTTGTCGCCCCAGTCTTCGCCCCAAGAGTTCTTCACTTTCCAATACTTGTTACCGTCCTGGATGCCGTAGCCGACGACAAGGACACCGTGGTCCAACTTGGTCCCACAGCTCTTGTTGAACACCCCCGACTTGTAAAATTGGAACTCGGGCTGGTCCGCTTCAATAGCCACCGACACGGGCTGCTGTGCCACCGCCGCCTTCAATGCATGTTCGTCATTGGATGCCACATCGGTGAACCCTGTCACTTTGGTGACCGCGGTACACTTGGACTTGACACAGGTCGACTGGTTTGCATGGTACGTGTAGTCTTCCTCTTTGCAGAGGCCCACATGATTCTTGATCCAACCAAATGCATGATCCATCAAGCCTCCGCCACAGCCCATGTCACCGTCGTGATCGCAATCGACAAGCTCTTGTTCCGACAAACTCACCAATTTGTTGCTCGAGACAAACGCCGCACCCTCAACCGAACCAGTTGTGGAAAAGGCCCAACAAGAGCCACACATCCCTTGGTTCTTCACAGGGGTCACGCCTCCTTTAGCGACCCAGTCGACTTCATCGGGAACGTTTGAAGTCTTGAATACCTTGACCGACGACTTCAGGCGCTCGTCGATGTAGCTCTCTGGGACGCGAAGCCCCATTCGGTGGCGCTTAAACTCCTCGAACGACATGTGCGAGTACTTGTTGTGCCCCAATGTGTAGGACGACCCCTCCTTACTGTTGTGCTCAACAATGAACTGATCGTTCAAGATGAAGTTTTCAAAACGGTGGATCCATTCCGTGGGGTGGATGTCGATGCCGTAAGTTGCCATCCAGTGGCGGAACTTTCCTTCATACGACGTGGCCGACACCGCGGCGGCAAATAGCGCCAGCAAACTCTTCATGATGACGTCTGCCAGGGAGATTTGTAAAATGGCCCCACATTGCAACAGCACACGTGAGGAAGATCTAACGGTTGTTGAAGTAGAAACAATTAATTGAATACAAAGAACAAGACCATCAAGAATATTTATTACAGAGCAAGTATCCGTATCCGGAAAATTGTCAAAAGATTTCCAATGGAATTGTGCATGTATGACAACCGCGACAAGAAAAAATATTTTGAATTATCCCATAAATCGAAAATATCGTTGTGACCTACAGTCCACACGAAGCTATGAGAGTGCGACCAACTCAGACACTTCGCCGTCGTGGTTCTTCTCGTTGAGATCCAAGTGCACTTGGACACAAAACACAGTCTGCTTCTCGTTGGCCGTCCCCACTTCGCTCGTCAAGTGCACTTCGTAGTTGCCCTCGGGGGCGATCGGGGGAAGCTTTAGCGACACTTCTAGTCCTTCAAAGTGGCCGGCGAGCACGGGGCAGTGGAGGCCGTTGACGTCGATGTGGCCAAGGCCAAGTGGCAGGGGAATGTGCGTCTTACCGCACACGCTGCCGTAGTGGCTGTAGACAAGCTGGCCAGCAAGTTTCACTGCAATTGTCAAATCTGCAGAATCGAACTCCGTTTTGACAATTCCGTCTCCGAGAAACTGGATGGGCTTCCCTCGTTGAGGATGCGGCGGCACCACAGTGAGGTTCTGAAACGCGGCGAGTTCATTTTGAAGGTCGCCGCATTGGACAATCGTCACAGACGAGCCATACTCGTGCACAATCATGTCCACTTGGGGGTCCACTGGAGCTGGCTTGTGGTCCGCCTGGTGCACAGTTACAGCTGTGTCGGCAATCACTGACGCCTTGGGGAAACTCGGGGCCATGGCAACGCCGCATTGTCCTGCTTCAGGGCCAAACTGACGTGCCAAATAGATGTACCCATCAGAGCCCCACTTGGATCCCCAAGAGTTCTTGACCTTCCAAAACTTTTTGCCGTCTTGCTCACCATACCCAACGACGAGGACACCGTGGTCCAGACTTGTGCCACATTCTTTGTCAAACACACCAGACTTATAGAACTGAAACTCCTTCTGATCGGCTTCGATGGCCACGGCCACCGGTTGGTGCGCCACGGCAGCTTTCAGCTCTTCTTCGTCGTTCGGAGTCACGTCGTAGTAAGCCAGGACGCGCGTGACTGGGGTGCAACTCTTTACAGTGCACGTCGACGCATTCGCATGGTAAGCGTAGTCGTCTTCCTTGCACAATCCCTTATGGCGCTTGATCCACTTGAATGCATTGTCCATCAAGCCTCCACCGCAGCCATTGTCAGAGTCGTCGCAGTCGACGAGTTCTTGTTCCGACAGACTCACCAACTTGTTGCTTGTCACGAAAGCTGCACCCTCCACGGCCCCAGTCGTGGAGAATGCCCAGCACGATCCACACATGCCTTGGTTCTTCACCGGAGTGACAGCGCCTTTTGCAACCCAATCGATTTCGTCCGGTACAGATCCAGCGTGGTGCTTCAACACGGGGGGGTTCTTTCGACGAGACTCCAAGTACGAGTGGGGGACACGCAAGCCAACGCGGTGGCGCTTGAACTCTTCAAACGACATGTGAGAATATTCGTTGTGGCCCATCGTGAAGCTCGACGTTCCTTTCTTGTTGTGGGCCTCAATGAATTGATCGTTCAAGATGAAGTTTTCAAAGCGATGCGCCCAGTCGACAGGATTAAAGGTAAGTCCATGCTCCTTCATCCACGCGACAAACTTCGCTTCGTACGAGGTCATGGGCGAGGCACCAGCAGCCATTGCACAGACGACGGCACAGGCGGCAACAGAGACCTTCATAGTTCGAGGAGGGTGCGGCCGAATTGCGAAATGCCGTCATGATCGCTTGAGATTTTTGAGGGTAAGGAAATTCTTCGCTTCTCCGCCCCGAAACCATTTAATTGCTTACAAAGGGCAATATACTATTCATTTTTTGTTGGAAATATGGGATGTGGGGTCATCCGCCGCAGAGTTTTCGCCAATCAGCGTCGTTGACCGGACCAACATTCCGTGCCAGGACATATGCATGGGAAGATCGTGCAACTTCAACCAGTGGCAAGGTTCCGCGATGGCGGCGAACTTGCCGCGCTCCACGAGACTCTAGCAGTTGATGACAGCACTACTGGAAAGGAAGTCTGCGCAGGCTCAGTAGCTCTGCCCACAAGGACTTTAGCCGACTTTGTATGCATTTCCTACCCCAAATTTCGACAGGGACAATGCTAACCAAATTGAATGATGGGGTGTGCGGTGGTTGTGTTACGTCGAATTATACACACCGCTTGGAGGAGCGTTGCCGTGAACGCGGCTGGAGCGACTCGAATGGTCATCACCGGCCGAGGAATGAACGTTGAGATCTGAATTTAACAGCACGTACCTCATTCGAAGCAGACCTTGCAGCCGCATTTGGCGGTCATGGGAAAGGGTGACGTTGTCCGCCGCGTCAGCCTCCCTGGGAGCGCGACATCAAGCGAAAGGGCAAGTAGTGAGAAAGGGAACACGGCTGTGTCGCCCGCAGATCCACCGACGCTGGTGGCGTCATTGGTGATTCCGCTTACCCCGAGATATGACAGCGGTCGGCTCCTGCCGACACTCGCGCGTTTCCGCATCTGGTTCAGCCACCTCCGTGAGGTGTTTGGCTTGCAATTCTTCGTGGTCGTGAGCATGGTATACTTTGTCCAGGGCTTTGGCAGCTTCAACGGTCTCGCCGTATCCTTCCTCATGAAAGTCACGTTGCATATGCTGCCCGTGGAATCGCAGGCGATCTTGACCACGGCAGCGTTTCCGTGGTCAATCAAGCCTGTGTTTGGCATCCTCTCGGACAGCCTCCCACTCTGCGGCTTTCGCCGTAAGTCCTACCTCATCGCCATCAACTTCCTCGGGTGCCTCGCCACGCTTCTCCTCCACGACGTCCAGGCCGTCATGGCTGACGTTCCTCCTTCTGTGTACTCGATTGGCCACCGCGATGAGTGACGTCATCATTGACGTTCTCGTGGTCGAAAGGGCACGGATGGACCCACTGCATGGTACGCGATCTCAGGCCATGCTGGCGCCGTGATGTCCTATCGCTGTCGTTCGTGACACGCTGACCCTGCAACCATTCGCATGTAGGAGCGAACGATTTGCAGTCGCTCACATGGTCCGTCATGGCAGTGGGTGGAAACCTTGGGTCACTCTTGGCCGAGCCCGCCACGAGCCACTTGGGGGCCGCACACTGTGTTCACTTTGGCCGCAATTGCCCCTTGCATTGTCCTTGCTTTGGCGGCACTCATGCACGAAGAACGATGCGACAGACGCGAGCGCAGTTGCTCCACCATGGCCGACGAACAAGTCAAGGTCGTGTGGACGACGTTGAAAGTTCCTGTGATTTGGAAGTCGGTCGCGTTCATGTTTCTTTCACAAGCGTGAACTCCAACATATGACCAAATCCAGTTCTACTACGCCGTCGAAGTCCGCCAGTTTTCACCTGAGTTCTTGGGGACGTCGGCGCCCTCGGGTACGTCCGCTCCGTCTGACCTTGCCATGGTTGACGTGGCGCGCAGGTTTGGCTTTTTGCTAGTAAAATCTTTGGTCTACAATACGTGGTTCACTGCCATGCCTTTCCGCGCGATCCTCATGCGCGCGCAGATCTGTTTGGCTGTGGTATCCATCGCCGAAGTGCTGCTCGTGACGCGCAGCAACGCCAAAATGGGCATCTCAGACGGGTCGTTCGTCTTGCTCGAATCGATGTTTGGCGAAGTCGTCGGGCGACTCATTGCCATGCCAGTGCTTGTCCTTTGCGCGAAGATGTGCCCCCGCGGTATCGAAGGCACGTTCTCTGCACTCCTCATGGCCAATATGAACTTGAACTATTCTGTCAGCAGGTACAGGGGAGCGATATTAGCCGAATCACTCGGTATGCCAGTCAAAAGTACGACCAACTGAGGGTTGCGATTTTGATCCGCAGCACCATGATGCTTCTCCCCCTTGGCTCCTTGTGGTTGCCACCAGCAAACGACCCTGCCGATGAAGTCGAGGCCGCAACACACTGCTCTGTAGTTCCCGCGACTGTCGACATTGGCTTCCGCACAATCGTCAACGACGACGACGACGGCGCGGGCATGCTTGGAGGCAAGCAGCACCACGGCGACATGTAATTTTATACAGACGTATGTGGTCAGGTCCGTCGCAGCCCATTGGCATGGCGTCGGCCAGCCCAGCGCCTGCCCGTGTGACAAGCACGCCAGCACTTTTGTCTCTGTCCAATCCACCTTTCCAACGGAAAGACGGATAAGCGTTTCGAATTTATCCGGATATGCCGCCGTTCCACAACTTGTTCGCGTGGAAAGTCACACCCTGTTACCCGCGGTACAAGACGTCCAGCACTCATGGACCCAGAAGGATTGCACCGAGAAGGGTTTAGCGACGAAGCGCCACTGTTCAGCATTTATATTCGCAAGGGTGGCGTACGACGGGATGAGGGTGACGACAAAGCAGGGACTTCCCCAACGTCTCGGCGCGCATCAATCGACGATAATAGCAAGAATGGCAAGGACCTGGACAGCGACGATCATCCCACCGATCCTGCCAATGATCCCTTAGAGAAAGAAGTCATGCCAGTTGGTGGCAGTGCCTGCGGGCGTATCGCCGCATGGGCCAGAGAGCTCCGAGAGACGTTTGGGTTACCGTTCTTGTCGATGATCGGCACAGTATACTTTGTCCAAGGGTTCAACAGTTTTAGCTCGTTCGCGTTGGGGTACTTGATCAAAGACGTGATGAAGCTACAACCAGCGGACTCCCAAGCAGTCATGACGGCAACTGGCATTCCATGGGGTATCAAACCCGTGTACGGGATCCTCTCAGACAGTCTACCGCTCTTTGGATACCGGCGCAAGTCGTACCTGGTAATGATGAACATGGTCGGCATTGCCGCGTTCTACAGCCTGTACTCGATCACTCCCGACTCGCCCGTGGCGTTCCTGATGCTTGTCTTGGTTGCGTCCAGCATGACCACTGCGGTCAGCGACGTCATCATTGACGCGTTGGTCGTCGAGCGCGCTCGACTTGACCCCACGAACGGTATCGTTTTTTCTTGATATCGGGTCGGTCTCATGAGAATGTGATATCGCCAGGGGCTACAGACCTGCAGTCGCTGACGTGGAGCATGATGTCACTTGGCGGCATCCTCGGATCACTCCTCGCTGGGCCAACTACGAGCTACCTCGGCCCCAACATGGTGTTCTTGCTCGCGTCCGTAGGCCCCATCACGCTTTTCTTCCTCTCGTGCTCGATGTCGGAAGCCAAAGCCACGACACACTCAAACAAATCATGCACCCAGGTCGCTCGGGAGCAAGTGCGATTGTTGATGCAAGCACTACGCGTGCCTGTCGTGTGGCGGGCAGCGTTGTTTCTGTTTGCCGCGACGGCTATTTCGCCATCGTTCGGTCAGATTCAATTTTACTTTGTTACGGAAGAACTCCATTTCTCGGAAGAATTTCTAGGCAACATGAATGCTTTGGGGTACGACGGCATCTCGCCTGCCCGACCGCTTGGCTGAATTTCGTTTGCTGTAGATTTGTCTTCTTGATGGTCGGCACGATTGTGTATAACTCGTGCTTCAAGAACGTACCGTTCCGCACCATGTTCTTCCTTGCCCACATCGGCCTCGCCCTTGTGTCGCTGGCCGAAGTTCTCCTTGTGACTCGGCGCAACTTGGACCTGGGTATCCCCGACAAGTGGTTTGTCATCGGCGACGCAATCATCTCGGACATCATTAGTCGCTTGAAGACGATGCCACTGCTCGTGCTGTGCGCCAAACTTTGTCCCAAGGGCATCGAAGGCACATTCTTCGCGCTCTTGATGTCGATCACCAACATGGGGTGGACTGCGAGCTCGTTTTGGGGCGCGGCCTTGTGCACGCATCTCGGGATTGCCCGGAGCTTGTATGGCAATCTTTGGATTGCCATCGTCATCCGAAGTGTGATGAAGGCCGTGCCGATCATGTTCCTCTTCCTCCTCCCAACGATTGACCCCCAAGATGAAGTCGAAGCCATGACGTCCAACGAGGATGATAACTTGATGGACAACCGCTCAGTGGACAGCCGGACCACCGCCACCATGACCGACATCGAAATGGACGACCCCGTGGAACAGGATGAGTTCTTGGCCCAAAAGGCGCGCTCATGAGAAATTCGGGTCAGTTTACACACTCGGGTGATGGATATTGGCATTGGGCAAATTGATTCTTTGCACCGTCAGTCCCTACATGACACCTTTGCCATGGCTTCGCGAACTCGCCCGATTTGCCTCAGTGCAATGTGGTGTATTTGATGTTGATGCGCGTTCATCGTAATTTGGCACCTGACGGACGCCCTTATGCGCCACTACTTTCCAACACCGTCTGCAGGTTTTTCATGAAACTGAGGGTCTGAATAATTGTACGGAATCATCCTCACACAACTATTCCACTCGTTGTGTTCACCGCGTCCACCATGCTTCATGGAGAGTGCGTCGACGCGGTGCCGCCACCACGCCTGACCCTTCACAAAAAGCACAGTGACGAAGCGTCGATGCGATTGGCTGAAAATCCCCGATTTGGCCCCCTCCCAAATGAGGAAACACTCACTAAGGTTCGGATCTTGGTGAACCAATCATTGTGTTTTACATAAATCTTTTAAAGTTCGACAACAAATACGCACTTGTCCGAGAATTTTGTCACCCGCGATAGGGACCCATGAAATTGGCGAGGGGGGGTGCCCGTGGTATGTGCCATCGGATTGGCTAAAATGAATTAGTTTGGGAATGGCCCGATCTGATTGGGTGTGAGATATTGGTGGTGGGTCGGCCTACCTTAGACCATTCATTTGGCCCGTTTGGGCGAATGGAATTTCATTGTCGCCATAGCCCAAAACTGCAAACGCAAGCCAATCAGCCATGGTAAGTACATGATCCGGACTGAGCACGGGAGTCCAATTACAGCTCTGAACATGCAGGATCGATGGACTCATGTGTGTGCGTGCTCTTCCTCCTCTAGTCGCTCGTAATGGGACCCGATTTCCAGCATATTCTTCGTATTTTGAATACGAACGTTGACGGCCGCCGCAAGGCGTGGGTCGCCTTGACCGCCGTGCAAGGTATCGGTCGCCGCTTCGCCATCATGATCTGCAAGAAGGCCGAAGTCGACATCACCAAGCGTGCGGGTGAATTGACCAACGACGAAATCGAACGTCTCGTCGCGATCATCCAAAACCCCACGCAATTCAAGATCCCGACCTGGTTCCTCAACAGACAAAAGGACTTCAAGACCGGTAAGAGCTCGCAAGCCGTGGCCAACATCTTGCATACCAAGTTGCGCGATGATTTGGAGCGCTTGAAGAAGGTCCGCATCCATCGTGGTTTGCGCCACTGGTGGGGCCTCCGTGTCCGTGGTCAACACACCTGTACCACGGGCCGCCGCGGCGCCCGCGCCACTGTCGGCATGTTGGACAAGACCAGTGGCAAGAAGTAAATGGATTTTTCCATTCCGTAGACCGGGCCTGTGGACGACAAAGCTGCACGTTGTTTGGGCTTCGTTTGCTTTGGTCGCCCACTTCGCTTTTTGACTTGACTGTAGGGCACATCCATGGCGTTAAAACCAATATTAAAACGTTGATTTTGACCTCAAGGCAAATCAACCACGTGTGTGTGTCGGTAGGATGGGCTAAGCGTTCATGGCAGATCGTTGAGTGCCCCGAGCTATATGGTAATGACACTAACGAGGAAGGGGAGGCGCTGGGTGTTAACTGCCTGGCGTAAGGGATCGTCGGATGGGTCAGCGCTTCGGCGGTTGTCAATAGTCCAGAGCATCATGAGTCCAGGCGTGTCAATAGAGGCTTGAGATGGGATGCATGAAGCCCTTGCACATGCACGTCATGGACAACGGGCGAACGGACTGCGCGGTGGTCCCGACACTGCGAACGGAGAGCCCCTGTTCGAAGTTGAGAAATATGCGATTTCACCTGTCAGCTGCCACTCCATTTGACGACGATGTCCAAGAACGACGACGCCGACGCTACGCTGCCACCAGGTTTGTCACGTATACCTACCGCCATGGCTACATGCCGAGTGGAGAAACATGGCGACCTTTCACCTCTGATGAGGCACCGTCGCTCGTAGTTGCAGCTTCCTCGAGCTTGAGTATCAGTATCCCGAACTCGTCATTTCCATCGCAAGGACCGACAACTCAACCTCCATCTGCCCAAGCGACGACGGCCGGTGTGTTCCATGCGTCGCTGCCCGTGCTGAATCCGCCGTTGTACTTTGGAATTGTCGAAAGCGAAGTGTTCCGGTGCAACAAGTTTGACAGCTCATCGTTTTCATTCGTGTCCCAACTCGCGTTGAACACCGTCGTGTACTTGTCGACGGATGACCTGGGCCGCGAACTCAGCGACTTCTTCAAGGAGCGCGACGTACAAGTCTTGCATCTCGGGGCCAAGTACCGCAACTCCAAGGGCATCACAGAAGGAATGACGAAGGAAGCGATCGAGTGCATCTTGGACCAGCGGCGGTATCCCATCATGGTCATGTGCAAGACGGGCATTCATATTTCCGGGTACGGCACCCCCTCCTGCAGCCTCCTCCTTCCCCGTCCATCTAGGTCTGTAATCGGATGTCTCCGCCGCCTCCAAAACTGGAGCCTCACCGCCACCATCGACAAGTACCGCAACCTGGCCGGCACGACCAAGACCAAGTTCGAGAACGAGCAGTTCATCGAGTTCTTTGACGTCGACTTGGTTACGTTGCCGCCCCACTTGCCCGACTGGTTTGTGCTGAATCAGCGTCTTTTGGACGAAGAGCGCGCCGCGATGGCGCGAAGAGAATGCTTCCCCGGCGTGACGACCGAGCCCTTCTCCGACGAATATGCAGCGCTGCCCGCGTACCAGCGGTACTATTTCAATGCGCAGGGGCCGCTCACGTCGCCATCCGTGTCGTTCTCGGAGAAACTCAGTTTGATTGGAGATGACGATGGCGATTAGCGATTAAGTCAAATCATCGTGGTTGTCGCTCTCAATCGACTGCTTGACCTTGAGCAGAAGCGATACCTTCCACGGGTCGAGCTTCGTGATCGTGTCAAACTCGTAGACCGCGTCGGCAAACGCGTCTGGGCTGAACGATTCGTACGCGTTCGCCATGGCCTGCAAGATTGGTCATCACGTGCACACCGTCACGATGCGATGCGTTACCGAGAGAAATTTGCCTTCGCGCGAGTCGGGAAACGTGTAGTCGATCTCGTTGAATTCGTCGATCTTTTGCTTGACGAGCACAATGTCCTTGGACGCCATGGCGCAGATACCGGCGTTCAGCAGATGCGACTTGGCGTTGTACTTCAGTAGGTTGCTCTCCATCGACGTCTTGGCCACCTTTTCGTAGATCTCGATCGCGGATGGGTAGCGTTCCAACTCGGCCGAAAACTGCGCGACCTTGAGCAGCATGGGCTGCGCGGACGATGGTTGATTCTCCCCGATAAAGTAGTCGGCCGCCTGGCTGTAGTTTTCAAGTGCTTCCTGCATTTGCCCCGCTTGCTCGTAGATTTCTGCGATTTGCTTTTGCAACTTTGCAGCGTTGGAAAAACGACCGGCATCGCATTGCATCGAAATCGCCGTGCGGTAGTACGTCACAGCGTCTGAATTGTCAGAGTGAGGAGCGGGCGTATAGGCGGATGGATGTACCGATGGGGTTAGCTTTCGAGATGGCTTCGGCCGCTTGCTGGTAGAACTGCGCCGCACGGGAGTTCTCTTTCAGGCGCATCTGGCAATCGGCACATTTAGCAAACGCTTCACCCGATTCCTGCCCTACGTTGAGGCGCGTAACATGAGTCTTGACGGGATGGGACGACATCCTCGGTACATTTCTTGGCAATCTTGTACTGGTTCGCGGCCTTTTCAAAGTAATCCGACGCATCTTCGTACTTGGAAGACGAGCTGAAGATGGAGAACTTGTTCAAGGCCTTCTCGCCTGCGCGCAAGAACTCTTCCGCTTTGATCTCCGCTTGCGCTGCCATGTTGGGCCTTCTCGGGCACCTTAATCCTGGCGTCGTCGACGGTTGAAAATATTATAACACTTACCTGGAGCTTTAACTCTGCTTGATTTTTTTTATTTATATGTGCAATACAATCCTGCCATGATTGAACTATTCACTCTTACAATTTTATTTAAAATACACTTTTTTTCCATTTTCAATCACACGAAACGAGCAAGAAGGAAGGCAGAGTGTGTGTGTGCAAGTCAACCACGCGACACCGACACGATCCGCAGCGAGGAAACACACTGGCTGGGGCAATGGCGCTCGCACACAGCACATTGCTGCACCAAATATATGGCACCTGGCAGCGCAGGAGTATCACTCGCACGAACGAATCAACTCCGTGTTTGGAATCTTGTACGACTGAAGTTCCTCGACGTAAGAACTCATGCTCTCTCGCAATTGACGCAAGATAGCCGTCGTCGAACGTTTTGTACACGACCCTAAGTACTTGGGATGGTGACGCGAGGTTGAAAACGTCGTAGTTTGTTGTGTCCCCTAGCCAGGCAGAAGCACATGCAGTCGGCCGTGCTGGAATCGCAAGCGATCCATGGGCAACTGCACGTGATAGCTCATTGAAGTGCTCGAGATCATGACTTGTCGGCAACAGCGACGACGACAACGCCGTGCACTGCACTCGACGCCAACCAGGAGGATCGCAACTCTTCATTAAAGTACCCTTGCTAAGTACTTTATCGAGAGGGGAGAAGATAGATTTTGTGCGGTCAATTTTGCTTGTCGTATCCGGCAATTTTCCGGATACGGGCAGATTGGCATCTTTCGGTTCCCACAAAAATCTCCAGCGTGACGAAGAAGCATGAGTGAATTCCGCGAGACACAGTCCCATCGCCGCGAGAACGCGCACTTTGAGCAGCATGACGTGATGCTGCAGGAACCCAAGGGGGGATTTTGCTTCTCCAATGTTCGTCGCAACGCATTCATCTTGAACAACACAACCGTAGCGGGAAACAAGACCAAGAACGCCCCTTTCAAAGTGCAAAAGACGGGCACGACGATTGTTGGTGTCGTGTACAAGGACGGCATTGTGCTTGGCGCCGATACTCGCGCGACTGGTGGAAGTACCGTGATGGACAAGAACTGTGAAAAGATCCACTATATTGCCCCGAACATCTACTGCTGTGGTGCCGGGACTGCCGCCGACACAGAGAATGTGACGCAAATTATTTCATCCGCGCTGGAGCTGCATCGATTGAACACGGACTCTCAGTCTCGCGTTGCGACGGCCATGACGTTGTTGAAGCAAAAATTGTTTCAGTACCAAGGCCACTTGAGCGCCGCCCTCGTGTTGGGTGGTCTTGACGTGACTGGTCCGTCGCTGTATACGATCTACCCCCATGGTAGCACGGATCGACTTCCGTTCGTGACGATGGGCAGTGGCAGTTTGGCAGCTATGGCTATCTTTGAAGCAGGCTACAAGGACGATTTGGACGAAGCATCTGCCAAGAAGCTCGTGCAACAGGCGATTCTGGCGGGTATTTTCAATGATTTGGGCAGTGGAAGCAACGTGGATATCCTCACAATCAAGCGCGATACCGCTGGCGAAGTGATTGTCGAGAAAGAGTTCAACATCATCAAACCCAACGAAGTGAGCGTCCTCCGCAACCAAGTAAACCGCAACGTTGTGACGAACATCCCCCGCGGTGCCACTCGTACGTGTCATGCTTTTTCCTACGCTTTAGACCGGGCTTTTGACATTTTTGGATTTTAGGTGTTGTGCGTCAGCACTTTGAACCGCTCTTGGTGGTTGAAGACGGAACGCCGATGGACCTATAGTCGATGTACCGCTCCGATTGTAGCTGAAACTAGTCCATTTAACTAATACACTTCGATGGGCTGAACGTACACTAGCATGGCCGTTCGTGTCAAAGCTACAGAATTTGCGCCGTGAGCCCCAACCGCGCAACGTCCGCGTCCGGGATCGCAAAAACGGGGTGGATTTTCTTGATCGCGGCAAACCGTGCCTTGTCCTCGCACGAATCAAAGTACCCGAGCATGCTGAGGCCGCAAATGCCGAAAAAAGTATGGAAGATATCGCTGACGTTGCCAGGTCGGTCGGCAATCCCGCCGTCGTCCTTGTCTTGGCAGTTGAGGATGAACTGAATCAACTTGTCCGTGTTGATCCAGTGGAGTTTTCCTGCCAAAAAATGGATCGGTTCCTCTGCAGGATCATCTTCAGCAGGACACCACATACCCATCATGACGAGGCACGAAATGTTCCACCAACTGTAACACACATCGGCCTGCTTTTCGGGGCGGCCATTAAGCCCGCCCGAGTCGCACTGCCGTTCGCAGAGCCACCAACCCAGTGTGTCCACGTCGACGTACTAGTTCAGGAGAGTTCGGTCAAGAGGATGTGAAGGATCGAAGGAGGGGGTAATACCTTGTCGAGCTGCTGTCCCATCGAGAGCGCGCCGACTGCCGTGAAGATGTGCCCGCCGTGCGACTCGCAGCCGGGGATGTTGCCAAACCCACCGTCAAAGTTCTGGCATGTCTTGATGTATGCCATAGCTGCGTCGATGTTGATGCGGTGCTCTTGCTTGAGGATCTTGAGCACACTCAGTGCGCAATACGTGTACTTGGTGTCAACTTCACCGTGAATGTCGCCGACAAACGACCCGTCCGGCTGTTGCAGCGATACGACAAAGTCTGCTGTCTCCTCTGCAAGGACTTGATCTTCCTTCCCCAGCATCACAAGTGACAGCACGGCATGACAGGTGTAAAGCAAATGGCGGTCATGACCAATGTTTCCTCCGAATCCACCGTTCGGATGCTGGCATGCCAGAAGCCACTGAATCAACTCGTCTGGAATGTGATGCGCCTTGCCCAAGGCACAAAGACTCCCCGCCGCCCAGTAGAACGCCGATACACGCAAGTGCTCACTGAGGCAGCTCTCCAGGCTTTCTTTCTGCTTGGACAGATTCGCCAAGTACTTGAGGTGCGTGTCGAGGTAGAACGTGTCATGCTCTGGTAGCGTGGACATCGTGCAGATTTCACTAAGCGTTGAATTGGTGGGAGAAATGTCGAATTTCCAACTAATAAAAACTTGCAGTTTATTTTGAACCCAGCAGTTTAATGCCGAAATCCTCATTCTTCCACATGGGCAAGCAAGAGGTAAACCCATTGCCTATTTTTTCAACTTTGCAATGCGCTCCCCAACGCGCTTGTCCATTTCTTCTTTCGCCAGACGCTTTGCTTCTTGGAGGGACAACTTCGGCAGCGGAGCCTTCACGTCCAGTTTCTTGGCCTTCTTCGAGCTTGAAGCGGTGGTAGGGACCTTTCGCTTTCTCTCGGGAGTTGCCTGTTCTTCCATATCGACATCCACCACAGCCTAAAGCAAACTAAATTTATCAACAAGTTCGATGATCTATAAGTATACCGCCTTTGCCGCCGCCTGGGCGGCAGATGCTTCCGCTCGACGCAACGCTTCTTCAGCCGCTTTTTGCTCCATCGCGAACTTGGACTTAGCCATGTTCTCGTTTTGAAGTCTTAATTGCTCTCTTTCCTCGGCCAAAATTCGCGCTTGCTCTGCCATTTGTTTCAACTGTTCCTCAAGTTGTTGTGTTTTGCGTTGCTGGTCAGTCAACGTCGCTTGCAGCTGTTGCGTTTCGATAGCTTTTTCGCGCATGACGTTTGAGATTTTAGTTTCCAAATCTGAGAATGCCCCAGTCAGACGTAACGAACACGTCCATGTAAAAAGTCGCCAAACGTACTTGCAGTGTGCGCCTGGTGAGACGCAATATCTTGGCTTAATTTTTCTCGCAGGGCACGTTCGCGCTCAGCCAATTTTAGTGCATGCTCTTTCTCCACACTCAACTTCCTCGCTTCTTCCATTGCGATTTCAGCGGCTTTAGCTTCTTTCTCTTTTGCCTGCAAAATTCAAGTTTCAGCATACTAGGCATGAAGTATCGCAAAGTACCAGAAGAATGCTTTGCTGTTGCTCTAACTTCGCCTGGATAGCGCGAAGCTCGTTCTGCAGTTCGATTTGTTTGGAAGCATTTTCCTCAATCATTCGCTGGGCATTTTGACGCTCTTTCGACGCCAGTTTGAGCCCTTCAGCTTCAGCTCGCAATTTTTCTTCAGCTAGCACTTTTGCCTTCTGCTGAGCCGATTGAAGTTGTAGTTCCAGCGCTTTCGTCTTGGCCTCTTGCGACGACAGCTCGTCAAGCAATTGCTTAGATTTAGTCTCCTTCTCCAACAACTTTGAATGCATTTCTCGCTCCCGCTCTAGTGACACAGGCAAGTTCACAAGGTAAAATGATCGACAAAGCACATACTTGCTGCTAATGCCTGCGATCTCTTCACCTCATTTGCCAGCGCTTCAGTTCGTTGACGTTCAGCCTCGGCGGCATTCATCAACGCAGCTTTTTCTGTTTCCTTTCTAAGGAAAGAGGTATTGTTGCAAGTGATTGTTGACGACTATGACAATTAAGACGTACGTGTTGATAGTCTTCAACTGCACCAACAGCGTTGCCAAGTCAGCTTTCAAAGATTGCATAACTCTTTCGTGCTTCGTTTGGCTTCCGTCGCTCAATTCTGCACACGCTCGAATCAAGTGTTCGGAGTAAACTTGCTCCAATGTTTCCACCGACATGGGAATGGCAGCAGTGATCTTTTCATTTAACTTGTCCATCAACGAGTCCTTCACGGCTTTGTACCGCACAGAGGCTTCGCGTGCAGCCGTGTCCTTCGACGCGACTCTGTTTTGTTTCTCGTACGTTTCTTGCAGCTAATGATATAATTAAATAAAAAAATAGGATATGATTCGCGGGACTGGACTTACTTGCTGAGTGTACTCGGTGACGGCATTCCCGAAGTGCACCATTTCTTCTTGCGGGAAACTCCACCCTTGCATTTTGTTAGCAATTTCGTACACGATTCGTTCTTTCGATTCCATGATGCGTTCGCATAATTTGGTTTGTGTCATTGGCAATACGATCACTTGGACGTCCTTGTCCAACAGGGACTTTGCTGTGCTAATGAATTGAAGAACCACACGGCGAATGTGGAACGTGTATTGCCGCTTGAGATCGTCCAGCAATTGCGCATGAAACTCACGCATTTGCTCCTCAATGTCGACTTCGTCCAAAGCAGGGTTTGATTCGACAAAATCGAATGATCCGTGCAATCGAAGTAGCTCCTCTTCCAGCATCGAAATCGTGAACGCAGACCCACTTGCAATTTGCTTGTCCAACCAAGCCGTGCCCTTGGTCTTCAATTCATTTTTGAACAACGCTAGTTGACTCTATGGGGGGGGAGTTATAAAATTCACACAACATTCACACAACACACCAGCAGTTTGGACGATCGTTCGCGAATTGCGCGTTCGTTCAAATATTGTAAGCGCTCCTTTAGCACTTCTCCTTGTTGTTCCAACCGTTGAATCTCGCTGTCGTATGAGTTGAGAGTAGTTCTGGGGCAGTTTTGAAGCGGAACAATAGAATCATGAATGATGGTATCGCATTGCTGATGAAGTGCCAGTGGAGCCACAGGGAGTAGGGATTCCAACTGTTTGAAGTGTTCGCTGATGGAGTTGCTGGCGAGGTCAACAAGGGTGTGGAAATGTTGCAAGATCTATCATAAATCTCAGATTGTGGCCTTGTGAAATAAGTCCTGCGTACTTTTTCGTTGTTGGATTTGGACACCAAGTCCAGTTCTCTTTCAACAAACATGTTCAGTGCCTTTTGGCATTCTTCCGTTACGTCCGTAGGAAACGATTGCAGACTTTGCACGGCCCCTCTGATCAAATCGGCCATCCTATAGATTCAGTTGTGTAAGTCGCTATGGCGTCATCTCAGCTTACAGTACCCTTGTCGAACTTGATAGGTGAACGTCTGTGTGTTGACCAAAGTCGGCAAATCCAATTGCGTCTTGCAGTAAGCTCGAATAGCTTCCTCAGCGCTCAACTGAATTTTCTTTCCTTCAGCACGCCGCATCGACGAATAAATGGACTCGGGCATAATTACTCGATTGTCGTTCAAGCTCTAATCACAACGTCGATACGACCTTTTCATGGTATAAAAAGCTACCTCTGCGAAGAGAGGCATCATGTCGGCCAATTTATGGCCCGTCAACGGTTGCTGATTGAAAAGCATGGGCTCCTGCAGCTGTTTCGATATGGTATTGCGCAAGTCCCGCAACTTGCCTTGAAAGGAGGGTTGCAGCTGTTCAAACCGGATGCGTTCGCTCAGCTGGGCTGTGCTCACAACCTATATTTCGTTGTTGATTGCAATTTATATGCATGATAGATGTGACAGATAGATTACGCATACCGGCAACGGGAACAACCAAATGTTGATACTCTCGAACGCTTCGCTCAATTCGTGGCGCGCAAGATTGCGATTGCTCACTTCCTTGGACACACCCTTTTCCTTCTTAAACAACGCATCATGGACTTCCGTTGGACTTGTGTTTACGAAATTCCAGTCGCGAAAAACACTAATCATACAACGCTAGCGAATGCAGGGTTGCGACTAACTCACGAACATGTGAAGATGGCCAAACACTTTTCGAGTTTCCCCCTCTGCCAGTTCGACGTTTTGGGCTGCTTTGGCGAGCACCGCAAGCAGATTGAGCATGCGGTCGGCTTGCAGAGAGTCTTTCCAGTTGAATATGACGACCTTGGACGAGAGCAACACCGGGGACACCAAGCGGGAGTCGTCTGTTGGGTTAACAGTAAAATTTTGCTGATTACGAATGATACGGTCACACGTACATGTTATATCGCGATCACCTTGCCCTTCTGCGTCGACAAACCCGATGCTCATGTTGCTGCCAGAAACTGGCGGACATCCGTTGATCCGACTAAACGCTTCCAGCGGCATGAAGTGGCTAGAGAGGTCAACGCCTTGCGTGCATGGCTCCTTTTCGTTGGATATGCGAAACAAATCCTGTTGGTTTGCGAGGAGATTCATCAAGAACGACTTTCCTTGGCGAGCAGCCCCAAAAATACTGATCAAGTTCACGCTGTGCCTTTCCGGCAATGCATGCAGGACTTTGAGAGACGCAGATGGAGACACAGTCATCTTCCCATCTTTGTCCATTCCCAGCCACTTGACTGCCTAGGGAGATGGGTCACGTATCCTCTCCACTCTGACGTTCATGAAGAATGTACCTGCATGGTGGATGTCGTTGTCATTTCGCGCTCGACGTCTCGAAAATGACCAATTCATTCTCAAATATTTTTGAGCGCAATGTTGTCGAAAACCATACTCAATGTATGGGATTTCGTGCGATGATAATAAAAATGCGCTAACGCATTGCGATTGGCTAGAATTCAAATATGCTAGCATGCGATTTTGAACCACCTTGCAGTATTGCGAAGCGTCGACCCGCCGATCCGCTGGACATCCGCCGCTGACTGCAAGGCATGAATTTGACAGCATGCGACGAAGTCAATGTAATTTGCCCTTGTACAACGGTCCACATGCCGGACTCACGCCGTCGCCACCCCTTTCATTGCGCCTAGGTGCAACATGTGGTGGACCACATCGCCGTCGACCAATCAAATCGACATCTCTTGAAGAGGAGTCGAAAGATTGATTTCCTTCCTCTCAATCCATCGAATGGGAACAGCAACAGTCGCGGACATCGTGCATGAGATCTTGGAGGCAGAAAGCCTCCCTATCCCCAGCTCTAGTCTACTGGCGCTCATCCAGACCCTGGTTGACCATGCCGAGCACCTTGAGCAGACGGTGTCGGACTTGAACGAGCAGCTGGACAACCTACGCGAGCAAGTGACACTGGGGAATGCAGCGACAGTCATCCAGGCGGGGTTTCGCGGAGCCAAGGATCGAGAGATAATCATGCGCGCCAAGAAGTTTCAACAGCAAGGGACACGGGTGCTCAAGAAGTACCTCCTCAAGAAAGATCGCGTGCCTGGCTTGCACAAGCTCGACACTCTCCACGGCGACATCGGTAGTCCCAAGAAGACCTCTGTAGTCTCACTGACGTGCTATATTCTAGCACCGAACTTTCGACGACTGAAAGGATCGCCCATTTACGGCGGTGCCCAACCCTCCGAAGTATCCGGACTAACTTCACATGGTGATTTGGCGTCATGTCGATTGTGTAGGACGGTATCAAGCACATTTTGGACATCGTCGCGGCCGACGGGTATTCTAAAGTCGTGTGGGTGACATTACGTGAGGTAAAACTGCGCGTTCGACACGGGGATCGTGCTGATGAGTTGTTTCGACGTACAGGAAGCTGTGATATTTGTCGAAGGCACACCCTTCACAGCGCGGCGTAGTGGGAAGCTAAACGACAACGATTTGGTGCCAGGAATGACCGGCCACAATATCACCGTGCTTGAATCGACCCTCAAGAACAGTCTGGTGGACCAATTAAAGTCTAGCGATCACAGATTTGAGTATTGGCACGAGCCCACGCTGTTGTGCAACGAATTGGCCGTGACCACTGTCGACCCGAGTCATGTATCTTGTCATCTTGTCTCCTGTCAGAAATACGAACGTCGTAACATGATGGGCGTAGGTCTTGACGTTGCCGGAGCTCATGAGTAGCATTCAACACACTAGGATTCGGTCGATAACGTACTACCGCGCCCCGATCGACCGCGAAAACTTCCCCGAGCATTCCATCTTAGATCAACTCGTCGAATGGATTCACAACGCGGACGCCACGACGGCAATGATTTTTAATTGTCAGGTGACTTTGTTACCCTCCACCGTGCCCGTGACCTCATGTTCTTGTTTCACAGAAAGGACGAGGGCGCACGACCACAGCCATGTCATTGGCGTACTTGATCTGGTCGGCGCCGTTGGAAATGCAATCGTTCGTGAGCACCCACGCCCATCCAGAGGTGCGCCTCGTCCGCGCTATGACGATGGATCCTCGCAATGTCGACTACAAACTTGGTCTGTACAAGGTACTACCAACGCGGGTCAAACGACGTGATCGTGGATGCATTAGGTGATTCTCGCGCTGTGTGAGAAATTGGAGCATGGCGTGCGAACAAAAGGCTGGGTCGACAAAGTCATTGACGACGCGTCTGCCATCTACAACATTCGACTCGTCATCGATGAATATCGCACTGTAAGGACGCCATCGGGTGCATTCCTTGTCTGAACCTGGTCTCGGTAGAAATCCCTCGAAGAAGCGAAACCAGCAAAGAGGTCCTTCTTCCTGGTAAGTGTCCACCACCAAAGAAAAGTGTCTGACGGAGGCATGCAGCATCGCGCGTGTCGACTGCTCGAGCGGTATTTCTACTTCATCGTGTTTGGATCGTACTTGACGACAACGCCAACCGACGTGCCGTTCTCGACGTGGCTCCAGGGCCACCCGGACTTGTTCCGTCTCTTGGACACCATGGGCGGAGCCACGTATCCGTCGAGTAAAGTGCTGCACAACAACATTTTGAAATTCGATCACTTTCCTGGGTTGAATCGGCTGCCGATGGTGCTCGGGCCAAACGTGCCCAACTTTCGTCAAGTCGGGGACTTTCCCATCTTTGGCACGGCGCAGGTTGGTGGGCATGTCGTGTCGAGCGATGCTGTCGTCTCATGTATCGTCTCTCCAGGTCTTTCAAGAAGGTATTGTGGACGTGTTGCAGCATCTGCGCAGTATCGGCCACCCCAAAGCGATTTGGATCAACTTGAGAGAAGAAGTCATCTTGTACGTGGCGGGCCGGCCATTCGCCGTGCGCAACCAAGACAATGTGTTCCTGAACGCGGAATACCCTGGCATTGAAGTGAACGAGATCACGGCGATCGAAGCGACATTGAAGAAGGAGCTGATTGAAAAGGTGTCGAGAAACAACGGTCTCTTCAAACACCTGTACGTACTCGTTTTTGAGCTGCTCGGCTGACAATGCGCACCCAGGCACGAACCGCGCGAGTACGTGACAGAGGAATCGTTTGACGTGATTTCCCCCGAGAACGATATTTTCACGCTGGACGATGCATACCATGCCGTCCGCCGCGCTGGGTTTGACGTCCGTTACGCCCGAATTCCAGTGAGTAGTGTCGGTCCCATGCACACTTCCGTGGAGTCATCATGTTGGCTAGGTTTCGGACGAAATTGCACCCGAGGAGAAAGACTTTGACGACCTCGTGCGGCTGCTGGGTCCGATCTTCACGTCGGAGGTCGGCAGTCAGCACCCCACGGCGATCATTTGCAACTGCCAAATGGGCCGTGGTCGAACTACAACCATGTTGGTGTGCATGTACATGCTTCGTGCGGTCATCGCTGGTGCCGTGCCGTCGCATGTCGAGCCGAAATCGACGGTGCACTTTGGTGTGATCGATGAATTGGTTGCTACCCTCGACAACGGCCAGGCGAGTTTGGATTTGGTCAACCATGCCGTGGACATGGCCGACCACGTCCAAAATCTGCGCGATTGCATCGATTCGTGCCGGGAATTGACCAAGGAGAACGGGCTGTCAGTTGAGAAACAGGAGTATTTCATGCAGCGTGCAGGTAAGTCTTGTGATGTCTCGTTTGGGCGGTATCTGACGTTTGATGCGACGGTGCAGTGAACTACTTGGAACGGTACTTTTACTTGATTTGCTTTGCGTCGTACATCCTGGACGAGCAGCCAAAGAAGTTTCCGACACTGTTTGTGAACTGGATGTGCTCGAGATACGACAATGCGCTCTACGCCTTGTTGGACAATCTGAACTTTGACGACAAGAACGATGACGTGGTGTCGTCGATGCGGTGGCGATGGCGCCGAAAGCGAAAGCTTGTGTACCGTTTGGAGTAACAGAAGTGCATTCCTTCGTGTCGATGCGACACGACCGAGGACAAGCAAGGTCCACGACGACACTACGGATGGTGACGACCACCGTTCCATCGTCGTCGTTCGTGTAATGCATCTCTATCTCAAAAAACCGCGGTGTGATCTGTCCGCAGTACGTTGGCGAGGCTGCAACTATGTTGGGACGAATGCGGGCAATCAGCCCAAGTTGGTGGGAGGCGTGTACTCACTCGCTCAGGTTGCGTCGATTCGACTTGGTCGAGTTGCAATATCACGATGGAAATATAGGTTTTTGAGGGATGGGATTGGTTGAAATCCTATGATGGTACGAATTTCAGTGACGGGAGTTGCGTTGGTAGGAATTGGACAGTGTCGATCCTTTTCGATGAGTAAGACCGTACTTGAACAGGATCATTTCTATAGTGCAGTCATCTTTACTTTGTTTTCCAAAGTAGACGATACCAATAACTTTGAGGATCGGAAGCGACCCC